TTTATGCACTGTACTCCTAAAATGGATACACAGTAAAACAAATAGTAAAGAGTAGGTATTATTTGACTTCGCTCTAGTGCGTTTTTGTGCAAATCAGGCAAAAATGCACAATGGGGTAGGTGATACCGTTTAATCCAGAATCGCTGTCCACTGCCTTCACTTGCAAAATATTAGAAGGCACTGTAATGTTTTCCAATATTGAAACATTATATAATTCCTGAAAATTTTTCTGAACATAATACACTTTAAATCGCTAACACTGGAAGGCCATTTCAATGCTTTTCATTGTACTTTTTTAAAGGAATGATTGCAAGCAGTAACGAATATTTGGATCGACGATTACGCAATAAATCTTTTTGAAATGTTCAGATGCAAGCTGACACGGAAATAAGCCAAAATAAATGGACAGATGCATTTGCCAAGTGCCTTTTCTTATCCTTTTCAATAGACCGAGCCAGGTTAGTGGTAACTGCTTTTTGAGCACTATCATATTTTTGTTTGCTGCGTAAAGCCTAGCAAACACAACTTTCCGCAAAAGTGTAATTGAGTGAAATCAGATCGTTGGCCGCATTCTTTGTTGTCGGGAAGGCTGGCGAGTTAGCGGCATCTCATTATCCTGCTCTCAAATAAATTCAACGACCGCAGATTATTTGAAACAAAAGTCATTTCGTGTTTTGCTGCCGGTCTGAATGTAACAAAATTGAATTAGGATGAAATACCGTCTCAAAGACAGGTGCGTTATCATTCACGTCGATAACGGAAACCTCCAGGAGAGCACTTGAATTCATCGGTGGCACACCCTTGTCGGTCGCAAACACATGCACCCGGATAAGATTAATCAATTCTCGATCCAAATGCTGTGCTGTTTGAATTACCCCTGTTGAACTGTGAATCTGGAAAAGCTCCGCACCCAGTTCTTCACCCAGCGAATAATAAATTTCGCCATTCAAACCAATATCCATGTCTCGTGCAAACACCGACGCTATCGTTGTGCCGATCTGTAGGTTTGCATGAATTTTGATTGGTGTATAAAATAAAGAGTGAACTATTAATATTTGTATCAGAAAACTTCCAAGTAGAGGTTACAACAAAAATGCTGTCTGTGCGGTTACAATTGTTAACGGCAAAGCAGTGTTTTCCTTTTTCTTCCCTCCCCCGCCTTGTGCCTCACTTCTTTCCGCCCTTGTTTTGAAAAGCTTAGAAGCTCATGGTGCAGCATCGCCGGCCTAGCCGATGCCCTTTTCTCCCTGCATGCAAGAAAAGGCCAAAACACAACCAAAATGAGTCCACATTCTAAACTCTAAAACGGCTACCATTCACAGTGTTAACGACCTGACTGCCTCAAGTTTAGCGCAAAAATGCATGATTACACAGACAAGCCTGGCACGCGGCTATTTGTGTTTATCAAGAGAAAGGTAAGTAATCATTTACTGGTGCATCCTCTCGAATTTCAGCATAATAGGAATTGCGCTCAAAAACTGGTGCGTTATCCTGGACATCGAGTACTTCCACGATCACTGAACTGCTTGCTGACACAGTTGGATCAAGCCGCTCGTAAGCAGTCACTTTTAGCACATGCCGATCCAATGTCTCTCGGTCTAGCGCTTTTCCAACCCTGACGTGCTTTTAGTAAATTAGAAGAAAATTTAAATAATATAAGTTTCAGTATATATTTCTAAAAAGTTTTTACGGTTTATGATATTTTGTCGTGTGAAATAACATAGAGCATCAGTGGAGGCCTGGCATGCAAAAAGTAGCCTTCTGTCTATTGCTAACGATACACTCCTTTGTTTCCAAAGTGGTCCTCGGCTTTCCATTTCCCAGCTGAGATAATTTGTTGAGTTTACTGACGAACGTGGACCTGTTAAAATTGTACACTGTCTCCAGCACTAAATGCACCTCTTTCTAGCTCTCTTTTGTCAGGAGTTCCTAACGTACACAGACGATTATTGTTCACTAAGGAAATGTGTTGCTGTATCTTCATGGATTATTTGTATGTGCGACACTTCTTTTTAAGCCAATGCCAACCTCACAGAGAATAATCGAGGAAGAATTTTGTACGAGGATGGGCTAAAATACTGAATGACGTAACTGCTTAATGATTCTTTCCAATATGGTGTGAATGGCTTTTTTGTTTTTTCGAGAATTCAAAATATATAATCCGTCGTTTTAACAAAAAATATAAAATCAAGTAGCAGTTTAGCTTCTTTTGGTCAGAGAAGCATTACTGTTTGACCAACGGCAGGCAAGCCTCAAGCACTGTACAGCACCACTTTTTTTAAAATAATTTCTAGGTTCTCTCAAATTACGAGAAGTCAGAGAGCTGCAGTGCAACTCATACAAAGGCTGTCTGACAGAGTGTCCCATTTCGAAATCCATGTTTAGAGAATGCGGTCTGTCTTGACCTTTTTATATGGTTTAAGATTATTTTAGCGACACATTTCGCCTTTAGCCCGCTTTTAAAGCAAGAAAAGACCCGATGAATGCATGATAACTATTCATTAAAAGCATCATTTGGCAACTGCTCTGGGCATTAGCCAGTCGTTTTCCAGTCGGATAGAACAACAGTGGTGCCTCTCCGGAACGGATTTGGAAAAGTCAAAAATTAATAGTGCATTATGATCATTAGCTGATGAAGTCGAAAATTAACAGTGGATTATGATAATTAGATGATGAGCGAACGCCGAAGAGCTAGCTGTCAGACGACAGAACTTTTATTTCTTCAAATGCTGAAAACAAAGAACGTGCCTTAGCCTTCTATTACTACACGACTTTGAAAGTAATGATGAACAAATGCAAAACGCGTTCTGGGCAAAAGCAAAACAGTAGCTAAATTGGTGAGGCTGTAATGAGAAAACGATGCTATGAGTAACTTGCCGTGGCTATTGCAAACCATCCAACCGGATGAATGAAGTTTAGGATATAATCACAAGGCCTTTGTCAAATGAACGCGTAATGTTTTTCGCCTTCTTGTTTTACAACCGGTAGCAAGGAAGAAAGTAACTACTTGGACTTCTTTACAGAAATGGCTTGCGTAAACGGCGAAGACATTGGATACAAACCGGCAGTTGCTGCCAAAGGCAAAACAACTTGAGCAGCTTTAACTTCTAGTTGGCCTTAGGCACATTCGCATTTCCGTAGCACTGAAAGTTCCACACGGAAAAAGTCTCTCGACAACATGTGTTACTGCATTTGCATAAAGCTACAAAACGCATAAAAATTGGGAATTTCGGTAGCAATAACAACTTTTATTAAATATAAGGTGTTTAAACAACAAATTTTAAGGGACTTCAACTGAAGAAATTATACAAGGAAGCCTTTAAGAAAATAATCTTTAAAAGAAGAAGTTCGACGCCTGATTTATATTAACTATTTGTTTAGTAGAACAGTTTTTTAGCTACAAAATTTACTTTGATAATATACTCTAATGAAAATGGAAGAACTGCACAGATTCTTAAAATTTTCTAGAATCTCTAACGAAGAAAGAATTTGAAACTTCTAACGAAGAGACTTCTAACGAACAAACGAAAACTTCTAACGAAGAAACGAAGAAAACGAAGAAAAAGAACTTCTAACGAAGAAAGAAATGGATTTTAATTACCAATATCCGTTAGTTTCATAGACTATTCGAGTTAGCGGAGGGTTTTTGGGTAAACGAGCAACGAATTAGCGTAGATCTGTGGATAATTCGATACTGTAACGATCCGAGAAAAGCGAGCGCTACGATATCAAATTTCAACCTGAGGAAACAGTTTCGGGTGCAAAGCGATTTGGAAGATGATCTCAGGCTGGTGGCTCCAAACATGGGCGGAAATATGTTTTCAAAATTTCGCCCTCCTAGCTTTCGCAGTTCAATTGTCGAAGTATGCAGGATGATGCATGTATACACGGGCTGATATGGCATATCCTCATAAATCAAGACATGCAAAAGTGCGTAAATAGAGGCGGAGAAAAGTCTACAAATTAATGCTGATATGCTGAATTAAAACTGAATAGTCATCTTTTGATTTGCAATAAACGACCTCTTCAGAATTTATCATAGCACTACCTTTTTTGTGACAAGCTGTTCGGCACCAGTAGCGGTGCTTTGCTATGGCGTTTTTTTTTTTTTTTTTAAGGAAGCCTGTAACAAGACAAAAGGAAGTGGATTCCAGGAATTAATTATATATTTCAGCGTTTGAGGTATTGAGAAATGCATAAAAAATCCAAAAAAAAGCAAAGTTCAAATGCAGCAATTACTTGTGATATAAATTGTTGAGAATATAAGAAATAAGAAAACAATAAATAATAGAAGATTCCAGAAATGAGAGTAGCAACAAAAATCACTTACCTTATTTCTCCCGAAATCGTATCCAAAATAAAAATATTAACTGAACGAGAATCTTCTGGTGCTACCATAGCATAATACAGCGCTTCATTGGTAATGTGAGTTGCGTGTATTTTAATAACTAAGGAATTGATGGGTGTATTTTCTTGCAGTTCGGAAATATACCGTTCCTGCTGGAAGTGAATCCTCGGTACAGCCGGGTTTTGTCGTCTCATCCACCGCTTCATTCGTCTTTTCGTTGCGTATCTTTCGTGATCCACGAAAAAGAACGCTTGTTGAGATGGTCGGAATTCATGTTCAGTTGATGGGGAACATTTATATTTGTAAGTTATATTCCACGGTTTCGAATAGAAACACACACGCTTTTCCGAAAACAGTATACCAGCCGAAGAATCCAGGGAAACACTGTTTGATTCCAAAAGCGATAATGCGCTACAGTTTGCAGGACCAGAAAAAATTAATATTGGTTGGCCTGGATGTACACACGGGGGATAACTGTTCGGCAACCAGATCACTTGCTTTCCAATGGGTAACAAGCAGCCGGAGACCATACAGGTGTTGCGATTGAGCACCGGAGGAGTAAGGTGTGTTGCACTAGCAACCAATGATAATGCACTGATAATAAAGGCCTTCATTAGCGGAAGTGACATTTCGCTGTTGCAGTACGCAGTACTTGTAAAGTTATATGAGAAAACGGCTAGTCTGGTCTGATCATTACAACATTTCGTATACCGGTAAGTGGAGCATGAACAAAAATTGCAACAGAAACATGAACAGGAGCCGAATATAATGAATTTCAACAGCAGGTTAGATATACGGCTTAAATGACCAAGAGAGTAATAAGCACAGCAGTGGACAATACAATGGACGACAGAGGGAGGGAACTCACATTTAGGGCGTGTCTTGGACGGGACTGAAATGATGCCTGACCAAGAACGGGCTCAGCTCTGCCTTCCTTTTGCATTCTAGATAGCAAAGCAAGATCGATTATGAGAGATGAAAAGGAGGAATACTGGAAGCAAGTAACACCGCAGCGTCAACAGTGGCAGCACCTCAATTCGTTATACAGCTAATAGAACCAATATCTCATCGCCAAATGGCAGCACCTCTACAGCATTATGCAAATTCAGGCTGGAACGCACCAGGAGGTCCAGAGCGATCATGCATTTTTGCACTATTTTCCGCTGTAGCAAGATCGCAAAGAACAGCAATAGCTAGAATTTGTGACGTACTGGCTCTCGAAGTTCAGGAAGCTAACTGTGCGGCTATGTAGTATGTCAATTGTAGATATTGGCTTCAGTAAGCCGATAAATGGCAAGTTGCTGGTGTGTGAAAAAGACCCTACTAGAAGAGTTGAATTTGAAACCTTTTAGTCGCACATGAGTAGGGAACATTTCCTTAAAATTTCAGCCTTCCAGTTTTTCTTGTTCCCGAGTTAGCAATTTTTCCGCCAAAATTTTCACATGCCTCCGCGAGGGTCCCGAGCAGCCCTCAATAGCTAAATTTGAAATCTTTTAGTCACATATGGTTAGGGAACATATTCTTAAAGTTTTAGCTTTCAAGCTTTTCTCGTCCCTGACTTGGTGACTATTTTGCCAAAACTTTTACATGTCCGTGCGTGAGAGGTAGACTTGCATGACACTTGATATCACGTTACTGAGGTCGCACTTGGCCAGGATGTACACTAGCAAAATATCAGCATCAAAGCTTGCGTGATTGGCGAGTAGAAATACTCAGACAAACGAACACACACAGGGTAGTCGCAACATACGTCTTGGCTGCCTGTTGCAGCGCTCTAGCGCTCCCCCCGAAAAATGCACAAAAAGAAATTTGCCCTCTATGGGTCGGTTTTGTACTTCAATTATAAAGCACATCCATTCTTTTCCACGCGTTTTTGCTATGCAGCGCTATAGCTCTGTTACAACGAGCAAAAACTCATATTGTCGAGAGGTCGTCTGTGTATGTGTATGTTCGGAAGCGAGTGAACTTTGTCACCCACTTTCATCTCAACAACCAGGAAGGCTAGGAGGCTGAAATTTTGAATATATGTTTCTACTCCGTGTGTCATCCTCCTACCTTAAAATTTTCGCTCATATGCACCTAAGACCCTGCGTACGGTCTACCGAAAAAAATATTCAAATTTCTTTGTCGGAAAACGATTTCGCGAACCAAGCAAGGTACAAAGTTGAAACTTTGTAGGGACATTCTTTGTGCATGTGTGAGCTAAAGATTTCAAATTCAGCCATTGCGTACGCTTATGCAGCGCGTACTGTCACGTCAAAGTTTGCACCTGGAGCTGAGCTAACTCGAAAACTAGCCAGAAAACAGTGGATGAAATTTTGTCAGGATATTAATCGTCCATATGGGAAATCGTATGCCAAAAATGAGTGCCGATTTGCACTTGCGCCACGACTTAAGGCACTTCAAAGATATTTTAACAGAGTGGCTATTTCGCTAACTGGATAAGGTGCGAGGCTGAAACTTCTCTGTGATATTCTACTTTCAAGTGAGGTTTTAATTTTGCTTGGAAGTGAGATTCCCTGCAGGTGGGCATGAGAAATACTCAGCTTTACCGAAGAAACAGAACTGATTGATTTTGCAGTGAACGGCCACCCTCATCCTCTTCCTGTATGTAAATAAACTCATTTACACATTTGGATTTTTTGACGGACAACTGCTTTTTCAACATTTCCACTTTTCAGTGAACTGGAAATTAGCATTTTTTCCAAGAGAGAGTATTTACCGGAAAAACGACCGAGCTTCATGCAAACCCAGGCTGGAATGCACCAGGCAAGCTGGTGCGATCATGCGTTTTTGCATCAAACTTGAAGTAACTAGATTAACTGCATGAACAGTTTCTTCACACCTACTTTGTGCGCTCAATACCATAAATCACCGTAAATTTTCCATAAAAAAAATAAACAATTTCTTTTTAGCTTGCCGTTTTTATTTGAAAATGACTCAGCTGTTCAGTGAAATTTTCTTGCCAAAAATTTAAGTGCCCGTACACGAGAACCACGCGTACATGGAGGCTGAATTTGAAACCTTTAATCTATATTGGGACAGGGAATATTCTCCTAAAATCTCAGCTTTCCAGCTTCTCTAGTTCCCGAGTTAGCCACTTTCCCGCTAAAAAAGTTTCACGGGATTGTACGTGAGAACCGCACATGCCGGGGGGGGGGGGGGGGGGGGG